CTCTCATTAATATATAGAACAACCTACACAGAACCACCTCTGTATAAATGCTGAGTATATATAGATATATTTGCCGATATGTATATGTGTTTGTATAAATATATATATATATATATATATATATATAGATATATATATATTATATATATTATTTGTTGAGTATGTATGGTGAACTCATGTATTTACCAAATTCTTCATGCATTAACGTTTTCCCTGTGGTATTAGGTGTAATTCACATATATTCATTTTTCCAGTTTCCAACTCTTTGTTTCTAAAGCCAGCCTTTGATACATCATTTTCTCCCCAACTTTATTGTTTACAGGTGATTTACTCCGAGGAAGAGCGGAAGTACAACAAGGACATTACTCTTGGCCTTATTCGCAGTGAACTACTAAATCTTGCAGAATATAATGTTCATATGGCGAAACTCATTGATGGAGGCAGGAATAGTAAGTGAATGTATTAATTTTATTGATGTTCTTTGTTATGTCAGTATGAACTGACCATTTATGCAATTTGTCAGAGGCCGCAACAGAGTTTGCCATATCCCTCCTCCAAACATTGGTTGTGGAAGAATCAAGTGTTATTTCCGAACTTCACAATCTTGTTGATGCATTAGCTAAGGTTTGTATTCTATCAGTTTTAGTGGAGGACGCTCTCCCGTGGTACTTTGGTAAAGCTTCTTTGGTGTTTAATTTGTAGGTAGCTGCAAAACCTGGATCTTCAGAGCCTTTGCAACAACTGGTTGAGATAATCAAGAATCCATCTGCTAGTACAGCTGCTATTTCTGGGGTTAACGTTGGGAAAGAGGATAAGGCTAGACTTGCCAGAGACAAAAAGGTTTCTTTAGAAGAATACTATAATTACTAAAACATTGAGGAATGTGTTTTTTTCCCCCTAATTCCTCAGTTTTGTGCCATTTTCCTCTAACAGGCTCCTGGACATTCCATAGCAAACAGAGACGATTCTAGTTTTCTCGAATCTGAAGATCCAGTTGGTTTTCGTGATCAGGTAACTAGATTGTTGGAATCCTTGATGATATTTCACTGCCTGATGGCCTTTTATATCATACTTCAATGCTTTGAGAGCTTTTCATATTGTTTTTGTACCACATTCCACAACATGGCGGACAATGGTTTTCTTTTTAATTAATTTTAATTATCCATAAATTAGCATTTAGTTAATTAAAAATGCAGATTCTAATGGTTTTGAATGTACTTGTTTATTGTAGGTATCAATACTATTTGCTGAATGGTACCGAATATGTGAGCTACCTGGTGCTAATGAAGCTGCATTTAACCATTTCATATTACAATTACATCAGAATGGGCTTCTGAAAGGGGATGATATGACGGATCGGTTTTTCCGTCTGCTCACAGTATGCTTTTTTTTTCTTTTTTTCTTTTTTAAACTTACTTTAGAAGAATTATGTGTTTAGCCTTGAATCATATTTTTCTTTTGCCAACTCACTGCATGCTTTTCAATTTAGGAAATTTCTGTGGCACATTGTTTATCATCTGAAGTAATTAATTCGGGTGCATTACAATCACCACAGCAAATACAGAATCTATCGTTCCTTGCGATCGACATTTATGCCAAGCTTGTATTTTCGATCTTGAAGGTGAGTGCATGATTTTTTAAAATATTGCCCATCTGCTTCTTTGGCTCTTTTGCTTAATATATATTTGATTTTTTTATTTTTGTCATGCTCTTGAATAGAAGTTTGTGATATGCAGTTATCGCATGAGCTAATTTGCATCTGACACTTCCCATTATTTTATTTTCAGGGATCTGGTAAAACTTCTCTTTTATCCAGGGTAATGAGCTGTAGAAGTACTTTTTGTCTTATTTATATTTTGCATGGTTGTTCATGACTTACTAATTCTTTTCTGTATGCTCCAGATTCTGGCAGTGACTGTAAGATTCATTCAGAAAGATGCCGAAGAGAAGAAAGCATCGTTTAATCCGAGACCATATTTTAGATTGTTTATTAACTGGCTTCCTGACCTTGGCTGTCTAGAACCTATTGTTGATGGTGCCAACTTTCAGGTATGAATCATTTTGCCCTAACATTTGCTTTTTTCTTTCCTTCATGAATAATCTAAAATCTGAAGTAACCACATTGCAGATATTGACAGCTTTTGCTAATGCATTTCATGCGTTGCACCCTCTTAAGATTCCAGCGTTCAGGTTAGTGCCAATTTGCTACCGTTTTTTCTATAAATCCTTGATATTATTTTCTGCATCAAAAGTTTTATTTAGAGCAAAAAAAATATATACATAGTAAAATAGGTCGTGGCAGCCTTGAAAAAATTAATTTGCAATAATGATGGTGGGTTATACCTATATATATTCGTTCATGGATGGTTACACAGATACGTTTTGTTCTTTTCTTTAATTTTTCTATTATTGCAATTACTTCATGCTGGCTATTCTTTCACCAGCTATGCTTGGCTTGAGCTGGTTAGTCATAGAAGTTTTATGCCAAAGATGCTTACTGGGAATAGTCAGAAGGGTTGGCCTTACATCCAGCGTTTGCTGGTAGACGTGTTCCAATTCATGGAGCCATTTTTGCGGAACGCCGAACTTGGACCACCGGTTAGCCCCTACTATTTTTTTTCAGTCTTCAGTCTTCAGTCTCGTTACTGCTGAGAGTTTTTTGTTTGTATGGTGGCACTAATTTTTTTTGTTTCATCTATTTTTTGCAGGTTTATTTTCTTTATAAAGGCACCCTTAGGGTGTTGCTTGTCTTACTTCATGATTTCCCTGAGTTCCTATGTGACTATCATTTTACTTTCTGTGATGTGATTCCTCCTAGCTGCATTCAGATGCGGAATATTATCCTTAGTGCGTTTCCTCGTAACATGAGACTACCAGATCCATCCACCCCCAATTTGAAGGTATAGTATTCGTATTTTTGCAACCATTTTGATCATGGAAATCAAATTATAAGGGACAAAATTTTTCATCACGTGCAGATTGACTTGCTTGCGGAAATCAATCAATCCCCACGTATTCTATCTGAGGTGGATGGAGCTCTTAAATCAAAGCAGATGAAGTCCGACGTGGATGAGTATCTCAAGGTATTTTGTTCTTGGCATTCACTATGTAATATACATGCGAGAAAGATCGATTGGTTTCACACGAGTTCAAACAAAACAGCAACATAGTGGTTGAATCTTGTTGTAGAACAATTGAGAAGTTCATGATTTCTTTATTGGATGAATGAAGTTTTCATCCTAGCTACGGCTATTTAAAGGTGTGAAAGGGAATAACTTATTCCTTTAACAAGATCCAGCTCTAAATAAGTTCCTTTAACAAGGTTTTTCGTTTTTGTTGCTAATTGAAGAACGGAGAAAGATCTTGCAGGGCGAGAACTACCAATAGTTATCTTTTTCTTCTGTAATTGAAATTTTACAACTATTTTGAAATAAAATTGTGATTCTCTTTTCCTCCGTCTGCAGACAAGGCAACAGGGATCATCGTTTCTGGCTGATCTGAAGCAGAAGTTGCTACTTCCTCCCATTGAAGCTGCTTCTGCTGGGACGCGTTACAATGTGCCTTTGATCAACTCCCTCGTACTTTACGTTGGGATGCAGGTACTTGCTTCTCTACCTCTCAAACCCTTCTTTTACTTGTGATAATCTCTGGCCAATGCATACTTTTAACAACTGTTGTTCAGGCCATCCAACAACTTCAGGCAAGAAGTCCTCATGCTCAGTCAACGGCTAATACTGTTACATTAGCAGTATTTCTGGTGGGTGCTGCTCTAGATATTTTCCAGACTCTGATCGTGGAGTTGGATACTGAAGGGCGCTACCTCTTCCTCAATGCCGTCGCAAACCAACTTCGTTATCCGAATACCCACACCCATTACTTTTCTTTTGTGCTCCTATACCTGTTCGCTGAATCGACTCAGGTGAGTTCTTCTGTTTGAGTTCATTTCGTACATTTTTTCCTGCTGGAACTGTGATCGGTTGGTAACACGGACAATAGTTAAAAAAATGATGTGTGGTTGGAACATGTGCAGGAAATTATCCAGGAGCAGATAACAAGAGTGTTGTTGGAACGCCTCATTGTCAATAGACCTCATCCATGGGGACTGCTGATTACATTCATTGAACTTATTAAGGTAAATTCCAGCGTGGGTCAATATTTCATAGAACGATTTTCATTCTCCAAATTTTGAGTTTTTAGCTGATGAAAATTGCATTCTAATATTTTTTTTCAGAATCCAAGATACAACTTTTGGAACCGGTCCTTTATAAGATGTGCACCAGATATCGAAAGACTATTTGAGTCGGTCTCTAGATCCTGCGGTGGCCCTAAATCTGCAGACGAGAACATGGTTCAAAATTGGGTACCTGATACCGCCCACTAGTTTAGTAGTCTCTTCTATATTTGACTGTAATGTACAGAGTATTTATCTCCATCCCAACGATTGTGTAGTCAATGCCAATGTTTGTTTAATATGTAAATAATATTTTTTTCTCAATTTAAAATTGAATATGATTTCAATTTTCTTTTGTTGTCTGGCACCAGCCTTCAGATTACATTACATTGCTTTTGCAATAGATTTTTTATTGTTTTTTATTCAAAAAGTTTTACTAATTCGAGCCAAACTACTTGAACCCACTTGAATGGATCTTCGTGTTGACAAATGGTGCATCTTTCTTACAAGTCAACCAGAAATGGATGAAGGGTCAGTTTTAAGATTTTAGTAGAGTTCCGTTGAAAGTAATAGCTAAAATTGAGCGTCTCAAAGTAAAGCAAGTAATTTTGCAATTGCTGTTTCCAAGATACTTCTACATATAAAATGGAAAGAACTATACGAAGCCATTGCTTCAGGCATACCATCCACAAAATCTGATTCTATAACTGAATTAACCGAGTGTCTTTTAAAGAGCCAGTGTTGCAAAAACTTGCAATAGGATTAGTGTGCTTAATATAATACTAAAAGCTGCAGCTTATTGGCCACGTGTAATTCGCAACCACGTGATAGTACCGAGAAACTGATTTAGGCCGGAACGGAACTAACTCTTTCATTCTAACTAGTAATAAAACCGAAATTAGTTTTACTGTAATGACAGACAATAGTTCAGATCAAAATTAAACTTCTCACATTGACCTTCAAATACAAATCCCACTTTATCAGGGCTAAAACTCACTAGGCTTCTCTTCGTACAAAGTACAGCTTACCCATAACATGGAGAATGGCAACAAACGCTATGAAACCAATGCTCATCACGAGAACAACGTTGGGGGATATCTTGAGCCCAGGAGCATCATCCGTGTAAAACTGCAGCATTGTTCCAGCTGCCCCTCCAGATGTACCGGAACTTGTTGTCCTTCTCCTGCGCATGCTGGCAGTAGCTGCCGCACTTCCTCTCTGGGGAGCTGCTCCACCTAGTGCCATTCTGTATTGACAAAGAGAAAAAAAAAGGTTGGGACTTTCAAGTTGATTATTGACCAATTGACAGCGATGAAGAACACTTTAGGCATTCTTTGTTGAACATTTCTGAATCAAATCACAAGATATCGATCTCATTACCTAACAAAACAATCAATCAAACAACCTTCTTTCAAGAGGAAAAAATCCTAGCCAGAAGCATGCCATATACAACATAATTGATGGCATCACAATCCAAAACTCCCAAAATCCGTACAACTTTTTCACTGACATGAATATGGATTTTGTATCACACAAAACAATAAATTTTGAAACCTCCAAACGAGGCAATATGTAACGAAACAAATTAGTAGATTATACACCATGAGTTGAGATTAGATATTGATCGACTTGCCACTAACTCAATTCAATAATCTCAACAAAAGTTATAGATCGTGCCTACTATGTATCAAATTATGCAAGAAATCAGAAGCTTAATTTAACCAATTCTTGCCTTAAAGATAAAAATCTATTAAATCCTGGACTTGCAACGCCTTAAACCAGAAATATGCAAATGTCCTTCCGCAGAAGTTCAGAATCTGGCATTGCAACCTATACCAACGCATAAGTTGTATTCACATGGGAACAAACGATTTCAAGTCCTAAATTTGCATAACATGAACCATAATTTCACAACATTATCTTATCGAAGAGCAAAAGTAAAAAAGAAAACATTATCTCCAGGCGCAAAGAACCGAATTTCCAGTGAACTTGGTCAGATGAATTTGTATGTTAGAAATTAATATCAAGCAAGATCTGGCGATCATCCAAAATCTGAGACGCAATAGGCAGGAAGGAAATCGCAGTTGGTACAGAGAAAGAAGAACAACAACATAAAGACAAGACCAAACCCTAAATTACCAAATTCTATAAGAAAAAAGAAAACTGAATCGGGAGCGAGATCTGGTTGTAAAAGTGGACGAGGCAGATCTTAAAATTTCAAGAAGGTCGAAGTGTTGGTAGAAAAAGAGAGAAGGAGGGCGAAACTTGCCTGAGTCGAATTGAAGAGTTGAGATCGGCAGCCTCTGAAGGATCTGTTTAATCGAAGAGGCGGGACGGACGGAGAAGCTAATTTTTATAGATTTAGAGGCATATTTTATAATTGACGTATTCCAACCAATACCTTCCAACCACGTGTCATATTCCATATTCTTCTGGGATTAAGAACATAGCAGCCTAAATTCTTTCATGTAACCGAACCGAACCGAACCAAGCCAACGGTTTGGATTGGTTCGGTTCGGTCTGCAGTCATTGAAATAAATTATAAGGTGAAATATGTTATTTTGTGGGGAAGGGAAAACCGAAATTACGGCAAATATTACGTGAAGAAAATTGGAAATTGTAGGATAAGGATGCGAAATGGTGCACTATTTTGGGCCGCAAGATGGGACATCGGGAATCAGACAGTTAACCGCTTTTTTTTTCTTTTTTTTTTTTCCTTTTTAATTTACATATTTTCTACTAAATAAATTCCTTAAAATGATTGTGTCAAATTTAAATTTGCAAACATGGTTACTAATGCTGTTCCGTAATTTTGTATCATTAGAATAAAAATTGAAAAATTATATAAAATTTGTATTGAATAATTAATTAAAAAAAAAAAAAAAGTTGTAACCATCATCCATAAAGAAGTACGCTCATAATCACGATGACGTCTCGGGTGCATGGAATTGATAAATGGATAGTTAAAAAATTAAAATGTGGCGGGTTGATTGTTCCCTAACAAAATAGGGATGCCATACGGCAGCTCCCTTCCTCAGTCTCCGGCTTCTATAAATACGCCAACCCTCTCATTCCGCTATACTCCACCCGCACCTACCATCTTCTCCCTAAGAAACTACAAACAATGCCCCGTTTCCACCATTATTATTATTATTATTATTGTTCTCTTCTCTTTCCCGCCCTTCTTTCTCTTTCACTTACCCCTTGCTTTTGCTTCCCTCTCAAATCCTTCAATGTCTCCATGTACCAGTCCTATGATCTCGATTGGTCCCCGGCCATTGCTACCTGGTACGGTACCCCCAATGGTGCCGGGAGCGATGGTACAACTATCCACACATTTCAACTTACACTAAATATCTTAATCAATTGAATTATACTCAAATTTATATTACGTTTTTTTAGGAGGTTCCTGTGGGTATGAAAAAGCGGTCGAGGAACCACCATTTTCGTCGTTAATCGCCGCAGGTGGCCCTTCTTTGTACAAATCCGGCAAAGCCTGTGGAGCTTGTTATCAGGTAAATGTGGCTTTTAATTACATATAATTTAATGATATGAATGAAATGCCCCATTATTGTATACCAAATGAATGGATTATCTATCAGGTGAAGTGCTCCGGAGAAGGTGCATGTTCAGGGAGTCCGGTGACGGTGGTTATAACTGATAGTTGTCCGGGCGGCTCCTGTGCTTCCGACTCTGTCCACTTCGACCTCAGTGGCACTGCTTTTGGTGCTATGGCTGCTCCTGGGCGGGCCGATGAACTCCGCAGTCTCGGCGTTTTGCACATTCAACATAAGAGGTTATTCATATTCAAACACAACACTTTTTACTCTAAAAAATGGAGAAGTTATTAGAATTTCAATTATATCAAAATTTAACACTCTCTTCGGTTGGGTTAATCAATAAGTAAATGACATCACATATTATTATACGAGGGTCAATATTATAATATTTGATGTTTGATTGTAGGGTGGAATGCAATTACCCGGGAACCTCGATCAACTTCATCGTGGACTCAGGGTCGAACCCAAACTACTTCGCAGTTCTGATCGAATACGAAGATGGAGATGGAGAGCTAGGTTTAGTGGAGCTGAAACCGGCGCTCAACTCGTACTCATGGATTCCAATGCAGCAGTCATGGGGTGCAGTTTGGAAGCTGGACTCTGCTTCTGCGCTTCAACCTCCCTTCTCCCTCAGGCTCACTGCCCTCGGCTCCGGCAAGACCGTGGTGGCTAACAAAGTAATTCCGGTCGGGTGGCAGCCCGGACAGACTTATAGATCAGTGGTCAACTTCGATACATAATTGAGAAAACTAATGCAATAGTAGCAATCATAGTAATAGTAAGCAGTATGAGTATGAGATGTTGCGTAAGAGAAGGAAAATATGCAATCAGCCGGAAGTCAACTTATTTAGTAGAGTAAAGACTTTCTGGTTTTGTGACATTGCATGAGCTATATACAAATAAATATCCTTCCTATGATATACTTTAGTTTCACTCACGTCTAAAACAAAAAATTTGAATCTACACATCCCCCAAAGGTTTGAAAAGCTTTTACAACACACATATGGCCCATCCTCTTACCTCTTTCGGCTAGTAATTTTCCGTTTCTCGTTTGCTTGCTTGATTTATTTATTATTATTATTGGTACAAAAATAAATAAATAAATAAAGGTCTTAACTATTGACAACATTCATTGCCCGATCCGCATTCCAACACACACGTATATATATAAATATTTACAGAACCCATTGCTATTACAAAGAAGACCTTTCTAAATTACAAACCACCCTGAACAAATGCCTGTTAGAAAAAAAAAAACTTTTGAAATGCCAAGAACGCACCCTTTCACGCATGCACCCCAGAAGGCTTCAAAACGTTGGAGAATTCGAATGACTAACTAACTACACGGCTAGAAGGCTAAGTTAGAATGAAAAGAGGAAAACCATATTAGGGAGTATGCAACTTTCATCGACATCCAGGGTCCGAGGCTGGTCGGTCACTAGGCCGTTGACGTACAAATTGTCCTTTAACTCGCGGTCGCTGCTCTGCCAATCTTTTCCGGCTTTGATATCTGACCTTTATAAATAAAAGTGAAAGTAAAATCAATATCCTAGAATTCGAAAGTGTCATACGCATCTTCAGTTGTGTAATTAAAATCTCAATGGGCTACGTCAAGAAGCACGGATTCTCATAAGTTGGAGTCTTAATATGTCTTTTAGATCCATTAGTTAGCATTGAAATCCAAATATGCACTAAATTTGCTCACCTTTTTCTCATAACAACGACCTTTCCGTTTCAACCTGAACTTCTCCAGAGCGGCTTCCCTATGCCTGGAACGAGAAGAATCCAGTCCTTTACTTCCTTCATAGGTAAAGACATTGGATGCATTCATATTTTCAGAGGCTGCAGTCTTGTCATCCACTACACTTGACGAGGTGTTGCCTTCTGTTTGGTTGCAAATGCTCCCATTCGTGTTGCTATTTATATGATCCGTTTCATTGCATAAGCTACTACTGGCACTATGTGTAGCAGCACTAGGAGAGTCATGTTTCAACTCCTCTGCCACTCGTTCAATAGTATTATCTGTGTTTTCTACATATTGATGACCAACTTTTCTCGGGTTGGAAATATCACGACAGTTATGGAATGAGGTATCAACAGAAATGGGAGACACCTCTTGTTCACATGTTGATCTGGTATTAGGAACTCGAGGCAAGACTGATGGCGTGTAGAACATGGAATGGAGAACACGACCAGCGGGAGCCTTATCAGATATCAAATCTGGATCTGGAAAAAGATCAAGTTGTGGTTGCAGAATTTGATGTTCAGCCTGGTCAAACCCGCCAGCAACCTTTGGGGTCATATTCTTCCGACTGTTTCTTACTGGAACTCCATGGTCTTGGTATGTACAACCCGAAATTCCTGACAGTAGACTTGGCAATGGTCTAGGAGATTGACCAGCACTTGTGTCTGATTCAGTAGGGGCATTGGGTTGTGTCACAGAAGGGGGTTTCATCATCTTACAGCTATTGTACCTGTTAAAATAGAATGCTCTGGTTGGTCAAGAATTCAAAAGAGCAAGATACAGTAAATTTTCATATATCAAGGGCATAACGAAAAACAATAACATCAATTCTCTCTGACTGTTACCAAACACCCTGAAAAGATCATGGATTCAGGATTAGATAGAAACAAACAGAATAGCATTTGACCTTAAACATTACTGACATTTGACTGTTAACCCAAATCTCATTGGCATCAAAGACTGAAAAAAGAAAGTTATAATATGCTCCTCCAATGAAACTGTCAAGGTGGATTGTACCCCTGCAGAGCCCTTATTTTAGTTAAGCACATAGGCACGCAACCCAAATCTCCTACTCAATATCATTAATTAGCATCCATAAGTCTATCTTTATATCATGTCAATGCACTCTACAGTCGGTGTATAATAGTTTCCTCAATAGGCAATGTCACGATTAGCAATTTCAACCATCACCTAGAATAAAATCAAACACTCACGATGAAAAGGCTGAAGCATTGGAGTGGTTCAGCACATGCCCATTTTCGCTCCACTGGCCTTCTGGTTTGGCCGGGGAAATACTTCTTAAAGAAAGCTCCAACTGAGGAGAAAATTCTAATTTGATTGCGCTGGCATCGTTGGAGCTAGATAACCAGCACTTTTGATGTTCATCAAACTTGCAGATGCTATTGATGTGCTTCCGATTATTGTCAAAATTTCCTATCAAGTCGTTGATACTCCTGGAAGGTTCAGTGTCCTTATTGTTGTAACTAAACATCTCAGAAGCACCATCATCGACGACCTTGTAAAAGTCAGGCCTCAAAACTTTATTCTGGCTTCTTATTTCTGCAATAACACAATCTTCTTTCATTCTTGAAGGAACTGAATTGCAAGCTTCACTTTTGGCCACATTATCCGACTTATCTGCCAAAAATTAAAGAAAAAAAAGTAGAGCAGCACTTCCCAAAAAATCACGAGAGACAACTGAAGACAATGTTCTTCCTTTGCTACCGATATCAGAGATCTTTCAGGGGAAAAAACGAAGGAAGGAGGGAAAAAAAGGAATGAGTATTGAAGTTCGCAACAAGAGTGTACCTCTGATGTTGGTTTTAAGTATATCAAATTCTTTGTCCATATAAGCACCAAATCCACGTTTCTTACAACTCATATTTAGCTTTGGAGCAGTCCCATCCTTCAGTGGTGACAGACCCTGCATATTTGGCATGCATCTATTCTCAGCTTCCAAGTAAGGTGTTGTACAAGAGCTCTGCACAAGGGGTGGCAAACCATGTAGTCTCCACAAGAAACTTCATGAAGCCAACCTAGGGAATACCATTGATGAAGATTCTCCTATGCTACTCAATACCTATGTTCACTTTCCTGTTTCTTATGCAATTTACAATGGAGCAACGTATTCTCAAGAAGAAGGGAAAATAGGAGGAGACGATGCAATTATGGTGCTAGATAATTGATAAAATGTTTAGTCTTCCCTTAATTCAAGCATAACAAGTGAACCTTAACGGTCAGAAACTTTTTACAAGGTTGTCAGTATCTTCGATCTTTGTGAATTAGAAACAACTTTACAGTTTTCTCAAACTGAAACATCTAGCACATCATATAATCTGCAATACCGACTTACAGATTTATATCTTCTATTCTCGTAATATGATACCAAATTCTGAATTTACAAAAAAGAAACAAAAATATACATACCTGGGCATCACTTCCCTTCTCACTGCATTCCTTAATTTTCTTTCTAGAAGCCACACAGTAACTTGAATAATTGCTACCTTCATCATTATCAGAAGTGGCCACAACTTCACGCTGTCCAACAGTTAAATAGGAGGGAAATTTCCCACTAATCTTCTAAATCCAAAAGAAAAGAGAAAACCAGAATTAATTGCAGGGAGAAGTGAAGCAGGAAAAGGAGAGGAAAGCTAAAGGATAAACATACCGTGTGCCTTCTCCAAACATGCTGCCAAAGGTTCTTGAGCTCATTTTTTCTAATTGGCTTAATAAGAAAATCAGCCGCACCTTTTAACATACACTTCAAGACCATGCTAACTGCGTCGCAAGATGACATCACTGCAATGATTGAGAAAAAAAAAAAAACATCGACATTTTGAGCTTCACCAACCATTCAGATGATAGTACTCAGTGAAAGGAACATACTTATAACAGGAATATTTTTGCAAATGTCGTGCTCCATGACTAACGTTAGTAGTGCATAACCAGATATTGATGGCAAATCCACTTCAGTAAGTACGAGATCAATATTATGCGGTCTTCCCTTCAAACATTCCCATGCCTTCAGTCCATCAGGAACAGCATAGACTGCTCAAATAAAAAGTAGATGTAGAGGCCTAGATTGGAATTGTCTTTTTAAAGAGCAAAATAATCATTCCAGAGAAAGAGAGAGCACAAAATACACAAGAAAGGAGAAGCGGTTATCGTGGAGAGCCGGTGAGAAATAATAGATCTCCCCATACACCCATCCCACCCCGTCCGGAAAAAAACATAAGAGGAGAAAATCATATATTTTTCCAGCACCATGTAAAAAGCACATGGAGTTTACACTTAAACTATGGCTAGAAGAATCCGTTTGACGCAAGAAATATTTATTCAAAAGAAAAGAAACGAAGGCAAAGAATCCCTGCAGAGCATTCACCAAAATAAGAACACATTCGAGGATATTTTGATCACGAAGTGTAGAAGTACATAGATTGCAACGAAAAAGAGAGGACTCAAGACAAGAGGGTTTCAATAAACATAGATGGAGGACTTCAAATTAAAAGTCTCTCGCCATGCACTGATTAAATTGCATGCAAATGATACGTTCGGGGAAACAAATTTCCATGACACCAAAAATAAGGCCTGCAGTTTTATGGTTTAACTTAATGGGTAAAAGCGGCCTTTTACCAATCTGGCCCAGTTTTTCTGAAATCTAGACGCCTACAAGCCATTTATCTGATACTTCAGTACCGTAACTAACATGCACCGGCTTTAGAAGCAGAGTGATTTGAAAGTGTACGTGGTAGGGTAAGTGTTTTGAAAGATAAAACAAAGTTGGTTGTCAAGTAATGTTTTCATTGTAAGGAAGGTATTGCTACACCAGTAATTGACTTCATATGCCAAGACTTCAATCTTAGTAACTTTCTTATACGATGTTCGCTTCTCTTTAATACATCAATATTCTACGGACGTTCATTTCCCGAACAGAACAGCATTAAATTTCGAAGACTGTAATCTCCGAACGAAGAGAAGAAGCACTCTAGATGAAGGAAACGTCGTTTTGATAGAATTGAAGGCAAAACAAAAAAGAAAAGAAAAGTACTCAGCAGAAGTTATAGACATAATAACGTCCAAAGGCAGCAAATTATAAGGAATAAAAGGGTTGGCAAAGCAGGGCAAAGAGAATAAGACCTCTGTAACTGCATTTACGAAGAAGCGCGGCGATGATCCGGCGAGTAGAATCATCAGCTTCAACAAGCAGAACACTAAGCGCCTGTTTCGGGAAAAGCTTGTGTGATCCATCTTCGTCGGCGTGGTGAATATGTTTCATCTCTATGTCCACTGTCTGATTCTTGATTTTCTTCCTCTTTGTCCGATCATCTTCATCCAAGACCAAGTCCAGGTCCAAGTCCAAGTCCATATCCATGGCGTCGTCGTACACACCGCTCAACTCGACTTTATCCATTCTCAAACACCCTGCCAATGATACAAAGGAATACAGAGAAATGAAATTGGAACCCTAATTTGGATGAAGAAAAGCAGAACACAGACGCAGCGTATGAGAGAAGAGAAGAGAAGAGAAGAGAAGAGAAGAGAAGAGGAGAAGTATACCGAATCATTTACCCAAATATCCAAAATACTCCTGGCTGGCCTTGATTTCTGTAGAAAGGAAAGACGGAGAGAGAGTGAAATTCAAAAACACCGACCGCAGAACCACCTTCGAGAATCCTAGTCTGCAATAAGCTTTCACTCACCACCGCGAAAACCCAACAAATATCTGCCAACACTTTCTGTTCATTTACCTCTGTCACTCGATCTAAAGGTGGGCCGCCAATGGATCATGGCTGCTCAATATGACGTGGCCCCTTGGGAGCCACTGTTTGTGATTTTCTGCCATGGATGGAGTGGTGGTGGTCGTCCTACGCCCGGGGTCCACTAAACTAACACGTGTCCCTATATCTGGGTACTCGAGGCTAAGATATTTTTTAAGCGCCAAGTGCCACGTAGGACTTGTGCCCCACCCATGATTCTGAGAGAGTTGTGGTTGGGAGGTAGACACGTGGACCTCTTTTGCTTTGTGGCGCAGCAGAAACTATGCTTTTAGCCCCGTTCTGTTTACTTCTTACCATCGCTTTACTTTGAAATTATCAGAAATTGGAAAAGAAACAAGACCCACAACACTCGCTAGAATTATTTAGGAATTTGGGATTAGTAGAGTAGATATGATATATACAGCCCGATGCGAGGTCACAAGCACCCTCACGCACCCCAATACCCTGTTTCTCTTGCCAGATGCCTCAGCTACTCGCTGTTTCGTGCGCGACCACACACTTGTCATCTTCTTCCTCGGGTTTGGTGTAAAAATTCCAAATCTATTTGTTAATTCCCATTTTGTCCGTGGAATGGGACTTCATATTTCATTTGTTTTTTTCTACAACTTTATACAGATAGTTCCCATATTAACTACTTTTACTTTTATCTTGAGTTCGAGTACTTCCTTCGAATTCCGTTGCGACCACTCTCTACAGCTGGGTAGCAGTTTGGGTATTAGGTGTACCCATTATGCACCAGATACATGCCCCACACCAGTTTAACCTCTATTTAACCCCTTCATCTTTTCATAATCACCACCCAACTCACCCTTTCACCCCCACCATTCTTGCGTTTAGACTCCCCCACATCTGCTACACCACGTTCTCATTCCATGGCAGCAGCTGCATGGCTGTTTGTTTGTTTGTTTTTTTTTTTTTAATAAAAATAATCGATTATTTGTTTAAGTGTATTTTGATCCAGGGCCAGAACCAACATTTGGCATCAAAGTAAGAATGTTGAAACAAATGTATCACCATGAGAGTTGCTAGAGGAGATGTGACAACGACAAAGAGCGAAAACATATTAAGAATGAGAGATCTCCACAATAGTATGATATTGTCCACTTTGATCATAAACTCTGATGACTTTGCTTTGGGTTTCCTCAAGAGACAACAAATTAATGGAGATACTATTCATTGATTATAAACCTACGATCATTTTCTAAATTAGTTAATGTGGAACTTTCATCTAACATTTTGCTGCCATCTACCCAGTAGTATCAGAGGACGTTTTTCTTACGCTACAAATAATGCATATGGATGTGGAATAAGTCAAAGAAGCAAAGGTGCAGACCTTGAAGAGTGAGTTCTTGCTATGAAGTTAACTACGATTGTCACCTGCATTCGTTTATTGGACGACAAGGTGGAAGAGATCTTTATCGTCAAGACGTTCCTTTGTGTTGTCTCCTCAAGATTCATGCAAATTATTGCTTCGTATGACCACCTCAAGAATATATCAATTGAGGAGGCTGTTGGAGAAGAGACTTGGCCGAAGGAGGAGAGGAGAGGAGGCAGATGTTACCCAATTGGGTAATTTATTTGTTTTCATTAAAAGAAAAAGAAAAGAAAAGAAAAAAATAGTGTTGAAATGTACACGGTTGTTGTTAGGTGTTGAATCATAAGAAATTGATGTGATGTGGGGGTAAATAATTTGGGAATATATTTGGTATGTTAGGGTGACAGTTATGTGGTATAATACACATGAAAATATTTAAATATCTCCACGTTTTATAATAAGATAAAAAAAAAAAAAAAGAAAGGAAAATATTTATTATTGGGCGCAAAAGAAGCGCAGTGTATTGAACTCAATATCCCTTCCTAGTCGAAGATTTGAGGGGATCATGGTAGTGTACGATTCCTGGAAGAGCAACGTTGTTCTTAGTTTCTAGTCCAGAAGAACTTCACAAGGCATGTGATGGAGGAGAGAGAAGGCAAGGCAGAGGACTGGTGCTTCGTCTGCAAGGACGGTGGAGATTTGCTTCTTTGCGACAATCGGTCCGTACACTCTTTTCCTCCCCATTCCCTACCTATATCGTCTTCCTTCATATCCTCTGCATGATCATACCTATCAACTTTCTTGTGCATTCCGCATGATTTTTCATGTTTAAACTCCTCCCCTCTTCGTTTTAAACCCTCGCTTTTCTCTGCCAAACTTGGAATCATTTTGTTTTTCTGGAACCATGATCGTCTTCACGAACAATGTGGTGCGGTTTTTTTTTCTGCGGGGATTTTTGGCGTCGATGGGCTACTTCTGAAACAATGTTGCGTGCATTTCGGATTCTTGAGCTATGCATTGCTTTTCAGGAACTGCTCAAAGGTGTACCATCTTGAATGCGTGGGATACGATCGCGAAACTACCTCTCAAATAGAAGACGACTGGACCTGTGGTAAATACGCCGATGATTCCGATTTCCATATATCTTTGATTGTCTTTCACAAAGACAAACACAAATGATTATTGTTGAGTGCAGCGGCGGAAGTAGAGTTTTAAATTACTTTTTTGCAGGCCTTTGGACCAGATTCTAATATTGATATTGATACGACCTCTGATTCTCTCGTGCCACGTTTTTTCAGAATGCCATTCTTGTTCTTCCTGCAAGGGAGCCTCGGAGGTCCACTGCTTCTGCTGTCCAACATCTTTTTGCAAAAACTGTATAAAATCTGTGAAGTTTGTACACTTGCGAGCCAACAAGGGTCTCTGCACAGATTGCTGGACCCTCGTTCGTCTTGCAGAACAACTTTCAGTTTCTGAGGTATATCGATTAATTGCTTGCTTTATTGATCCCAAGAGAGTGAGTGGTTCAATTAATGTTTTGCTTGTTTGAATCGTTCCTTTGATTAGTACAAATCTGTGGATTTCGAAGATAGAGATACACATGAGTGCCTGTTCAAAGAGTATTGGGAAATTGTGAAAAAAGAAGAAGGTTTAAGAAGAGGCGATCTTGTGGCTGTGGAAGAACCCTACTCGTCGAAGGGAAGAAGGCACATGAGGGGCACCACCCCAACGCGGGTCGTCAAGACCCTACAAGATAGAGATACCAAGTCCAATACATTCAAATTGATCACCAGCTGGGGATCTAAACCTCTCATTGAATTTCTCACTTCCATTGGCGTAGATATAACCACGCAGCTATCTCAATGTGATGTCAGTTCCATCATCTTGAAGTACGTTCAGGAGAGGGACCTTATTCATCCCATAAAGAAGATGAAAATCATCTGCGACAGAAACCTGCATCTCATTTTCAAGAAGAACACCATACCCTTGAACCAGATTAATGCTCTTTTGGGACCGCATTTTTCTCATGGTAATGACACCCAGAGAACCAACAATGAGAAGAAGAGATGTTTAGAATCGGATCCACAAAATGGGGATGCTAAGCACCAGAAAACATTGAGCTGCTCTCAGGAAAAATCTCCGAACGATAAAGCTTACTTTGCATCAATAGTTGCCCATAACATGAAACTCGTCTACTTGAGGAAGAGCTTAGTGGAGGATCTTCTAGAACAGCCTGAAAGCTTCGAGGACAAGGTGGTGGGAAGTTTTGTTAAGGTCATGGAAACGGAATCGAGGGAAATTCGTTCTAAAGGGAAGATTTCTCAACAGCTCTTGCAAGTTACAGGTTAAAGCAGATGTTCCTGTTGGTAATGTAAAAACAAATTAGAGTTGTTAGCTTTTGCTGATTCATTAACTTATTGACTTGTGGCCTCAGCTGTAAAGAAAATGTCAAGCACTGATGGGAGTAGTATTGGGCTGAATGTTTGGACGTTGCCGGACATTCAAATTTCCATGCTCTCTGATTCAGACATAACTGAGGTAAGAAAAGGAGTTGACATTGCCAGGAATAAGATTGCTGAACTTGTTTTGAACATAAGGGTTTGTTTTGATGATTTCCAGGAAGATTGCCAGGATCTTAGGGAAAAGATGGCCAAGGGTCTGTTCCAGAGACCTACCGTTGTAAGTTGATATGAATAAGATAAATAATTCCTCCATTTCATACATCTAATCTAACCGTGAACAGCAAGAATAAGTTGGCTTTTGATTCTCTTTCTTTTTCCGATGGCAGGAAGAGATAGAAAAGAAGGCTCGGATTCTTCATCAGGACATCAGGAAGGACGTACGTATTTTTGTCCACTTTGAGTATAAACTCTCATGACTTTGCTTTGGACTTCCCTGGGTCATTGTACATGTATTCCTTACTCTTATAAACCCAAGATCAATGCCCTAAATAAGCTAACGTGGGACTCCCTCCCAACAATCCTCAACAACTAGGCCGTTTTTTTTCTTCCAAAATAATGAATCATTGTTTATTGGCATTTCCTTGTCCTTGAAGCTTTTCTTTTTATGGTTGGTAGTGGATGAAGAGAGAGCTAGTGAAGTTGCAAAACCTGATCGATCGCGCAAATGAAAAGGGGCGTAGAAGCGAATATCCTTTTGAGGTGGGGTTTTTTGTTTTGTTTTCCATTATTTTTGAAGCTATTCCAAGCTCATCGCCATGAATATCCTTAACTAGCATGTTTGGTTGGTGCTTTAAACGCTATACCAACTTATAGATCAAAGGCAAACGCTGAAGAAAGAAGCAGGACGACAACAACAACCACCACTACTACTCAAACAGCTCCCCATTGCCATCGTTGACACTGCCGAAGCCGAAGCCAAAGCCGATGACCCATCACTCAAATTTAATCCTCCTTCGTTATAGTGAACCCAGATTACTTTTCTGGCATTATTATAGCAGCAACTATAAATTTAGTAGGAAATTGAATCCCTTTAGTTTTGCGATTATATTATATGTAATTTTAAAGTTGGACCACTCCCACCTTTTCTTTCTATAGATAGCTTTACTAACGTATCTCGAATTTGAATCGAGGAGGAAGAACAAGATTATCGACTTATCAAATTTAATATGATACAAAGTGTAAGGAGGGTTGTCCATGGCGGATCCCTTCCTTCAAACTATCTGCCAGATACGACGCCGTTTCCGCACTTGGGTACAGGTTCCGATTATCACATTTTCTCTATAAAAGAAAAAGAAAAAGAAAAATAAAAAGAAATAAGAAAGGCGTTTAGCAAGTTCGTTCTCTACGTTGTTGTTGTTGTTGGCTGGAACCACGTCGCTCCCTCGTATTGGGCCGTGTATTCATTATGGGCCCAGAATGAATGCAAGCCCACATCCCAAGCATCCATAAAATCCCAACCTTGAAGACTTCCTCAAACCCTAGGACGCTTCCGTATTTGCGCAGCGAAAAAACAGATCGTTCACAGCCTCCGCCATTGCCTGTTTCTTCTGGTCTCAAATCTCTCCCCCCTCGCTTTCCAACTGCTGTTATTCATTTGTTTTTCTTCATTGCATTCGATTCCTAATGCTTCCTCATCTGTGTTGTTTTTCTGCGTTCCTTCTTCCCTAACTTCGCTCGCTTCTGATCCTGCAGTGAAAAATGTCGATCGGAGAAATTGCTTGCTCCTACGCTTCTCTCATCCTCTGCGATGATGGCATCCCTATTACAGTATGCTTCTCTTTACTCCTGCCTTCCCCACTTCAATATTTCATTTATCTCTTAGCAATTACTTTCGTGTTTTCGTATACCGGTTTCGAAGTAATTAATGGGAGATTTCCATGTGTTGTTCTAATTGATTGGGAGGATATTAGGATTATTAACATGTTGCGCGATTTCCATCATTATAGAAAAATTATTAACTGTTATTCGGTTTTTTTTCATCAATATTTTATAGAAACAATGTTTACTATCTCTTATTCTTCTGCCGTTATTCCTTTTCTGGTCTGTTTATGAAATTTGTTCCAAATTGTGATCATCGCCTCCTCTTATAAATATATGTGATAGCTTTTGTTTGCTACATCGTTTCAACAGGCAGAAAAACTTGCTACGCTTGTTAACGCAGCTAAGGTTGACAATGTGGAGTCTTACTGGTTCAACCTTTTTGCTAAGCTGGCTGAGAAGCGTAACATTGAAGATCTGATTCTCAATGTTGGTGCTGGTGGAGGCGCTGCAGTCGCTGCTGCTCCAGCTGGCGGAGCTGCTGGTGGCGCTGCTGCCGCCGCTGCTCCTCCACCGGAAGAGAAAAAGGTAAGCATAGCCATTTCGCTCCTAAGAAAGATATATTCTTGTACTTCCTGTCATGAAAGCTTGTTTTTGGGGTATAATGTGTGTATTATCGTGACATGAGGTTGGATTATTTTTGTTACTTGCAGGAAGAACCAAAGGAAGAGAGTGACGATGATATGGGATTCAGTTTGTTTGATTAGGTCAAGATATTGCATCGCATATTTTGTGCTCGGTTGATTATCTTTTAAATGCGAGAGGGTTCTCTTTATTTTATAGATATGTAATTTTGGACGTCCTTGACAAATTTGGCCCAAGTTTTAATTTGAATGTGATCGAATTTCAACTTTTTGGTTGAGGTTTAATTTTTTTATATACCATTATGTTCTCCCGCCGGTACACGCTAGGTATAATATGTTTTTTCTCCATTTGTGTAGTTTGTCTTTCTTCTTGACAATTGGAGCCCAATAGCTTTTGTTGCTAAAGTTCTTCAACGATGATGTGTGACTTAAGATTATTAGAGCTGAGAATGACATTTTATTTTCTCTCTTTTTTCCTTTATTATCATTATTTTTTTATTAATCATAAGTCCAATACAATTTGTGCCCTAACTTGAGAATTGTTATTTTTTTTAATTTAACAAATATGATAGTGGGTGATAGAGATAGTATCATGGAATTATAATTATCGTTTTTTTTAATATAATTTGTACCATGTTCAAATTATTAACATGGAAACTAGGTTTGCTCGACGTATATTCTTTTAGCTTTTTATCCACAAACCTATGATTTTAATCAAGGCTCCAATTGTCAAGTTTGTCTACTGCAATTTTTAGTTCGGAAGGATGCGATCATCTCCCTTAATACAAGGCTGCTTCGAAGGGGAAGTATTTGAAATTACGGAGTAGCCTTTGACGAGATGACCGTCAGACCTCGTGTGGTCAAGGGTGGTCTACTCAGGGATGGAGTATTTGCTAATTTAAAGAGGTTCATCGCATTTCAAAATCTCCCAATGATTCATGTTATTAACTGTGATGTCTCTCTAACTAACCAAGAACTTCTGTACTCAAAAACTAAACAAGAATTCCACGGTTACCACTTGACCAATTTTACAGTCTCTATTTTGTTTTCTGGGACTTCTTTGAATCCACAACCTGTTCATGTTGATATGAATTATAGAGACAAAATTGAAAGGAACATCAGTTTCATATTCTAAAACACTCCCCTCTGAAATTGGTTTAGGCAATTTCGTTAACAGCTTCGTATTTTTATGAACAACAAAGCACTTGGTTGGGTAATTAACAACTGCGTTCTACCGTGGAGAAATCTCTGTATGGGATTGCAGGAAAAATTCAATCAATAGCTCATATAATTTACCCTAACAAATCGGCTACAAACTAACAACCTCCGTAATTGTATTTACAGATACAAAATGTCATCCTCCCCTCGAGAAATTTGACAGTACATAACTGAGACTAACCAAAAGCACCTTTTATCACGTGGGTTTAAAATTAAGGAGTCGCTTCATACTCTGTCAAGATTTGCTCGTCTTCTCTTTCCCTACATGAATTATATATGTATTTCGTTTCATGTCAGAAATTGACGGATCAGAAAGACAAAACATATTAGGAGGATCAGAAACATAACTCACCAAATAGATTTGCTTTTAAAGGGAATCGAAGGGAGGACGGTTTCTTTACTTTTACCTCCTTCAGTTGCCTGCTCTTGTTTAGTTTTTCTACTTTTTCTACTCCACCGCTGCTATCTCCTACTAAAAGATGAAATCCTTTTGTGACCTTGTCATGGTAGACGGCTGGTGGTGCAAGCCTCAATTGAGGCATATTTTCTATGTCTATTACTCTCTGATTTTTCTGTAAGTTAGCCAGAATCTCAAACTGCAACAATACACAGATTCAGGTATTTCAGTTGCAACAAAACCTATTGGTCGTTGCACTAGTAAGACAAAAACAATACCCGTGGTATTTGCTGAAGAGTGTATGGAAGCTCCAATAAATCTGTTTCTTGTGGATATGAAACAGAAGCTCCTGACGACGATTGAGTTCTTGATGAAAATTTATTCACTAGACTGTATTCAGTCAGTGCTTTGCCTCTAGACCGTTGAGAGTGATTGCTATGCACACAAACCTGGCATGAGAAGTCTCCACCTGAAGCCTCATTATCAAGAACTTCGCACTGAAGATGAGTTGCATGACCACAGTTAAAAACTCGAACTCTGTAACTTGATGAGCTCTTGACAAGAAGGCGATTACATATGCAACAGACAGCACCCCGGGGAGCATATCCGTGAGATGCCCCTTTCTTCAATAAACTCATGGTATAGAACGTGTCATCCTCAATTAAAGCTTTGGCAGTATCCTAAACAAGTTTGAAAAGGCTTCAATTTACATTTTACAGGCGTATCAGACACATCTTGGAGGTCTGCCTGGGGGATCACATATTCTAGAGGATCAAACACTAAAACTCAGGCCTCAGAGAATTGTGCATGTCTCCTAGGCATTTACCTTGAATTAATCTTGTACATTCTTGTGTTCCATAACATCCATACGAGTAGCCAAGCCTTAAAGCCTATAATAACTACTTGGCTACAACGAGTTTGAAGGGAGACATTTTTCATATCAAGTTCCTTATAATATAACATATACCATTTTAAGTATTCGAACTTAAATACTTAAAACTTGGTTAAAAAAGAACTTAATAATGGAAATTCAATCATAAAATTCAATGATATTTATTTGTCGAAAAAGAATAAGCCAGATATCAAGCACCCCAGACATTTCTTAATAAAGTTATACTGAGGGAATGAAAACATACCAGAATTCTTCTTTCAAAGCCAAAAGTCCCAAGCATCCCAAGTATGGTAAGTTTAAAATCGCCAAATTCTTGACTTCCGTTGTCAGAGAGAAGTCTGGACATGATAGTTGGAAGATGAACATATCCTATCATCCCCTCAACTATCTCTCTGATAAATCGAGAGAACAAACTCCTTAATATATGAGCAGTTTGATTGGACTTCAAAATTCTCCATGTAACTATATGTGCTTCTTTATCCTTTTGTGAACCTGATGACTCGTTCAAGAATTGAACTTGATTTTCTCCAAAAGAAGCAGTTCTATAATTAAATGATTCAATTAAAGGCTCACAAAACCTGCCAATCCAAAGAAAAAAAAAGTCCATCACAAACTGAGAACCAAATTTAAATTATGAATACAAGGTACAACGCATACTATAACACTAAAGTTACGCTCAGGAACTACCAATTGCAGGATAAATTTATCGAAGTAAGACACTGAGCCTATATTTTTTCCAATTAAGATTTAAGGTGGAAATACATGAGATATGTTTATGCATATGCGCATAGGTACATACATACATATGTACCCAAAAGCATAGGACAAAAAGTCGAAAAGATGTTAAACGCCCCTTTCTTCTCTTTCCTTTTTCATTCACCAATAAGTTCGTTAGCAATAAGAGAAGTATTTAGGATTTATCAGCATGCTAGCTACCCTCCTTCCAAATCTCTCAAATCTCACTGCATGACGATATTTACACGTGAAACTTGAAAAAATAGTGCTTTCTCACCAAAATCT